TGTGATTTCAGCTGTAATTTCTTTCATTTCTGATTTTATTTATACCTGGCCAGAGATAAAACGTTAGTTGGTACTGAGGTCTATGGACACATGGACATTTTTTAGCTCTCACCTATGAAGTTCATCCACCCTAAACAGACTTGAAATAAAGTGAGGTATGCGCTGTATAAAACGATACAATAGATTTTGTGCTGGGGTGGGCCCTGAGGAGATGGCACCTAGCATGTGTTAACAGGTGAGTCCTCTTCTGCTCTTGGCAATGCCCAAGCTCTTGAGAGGCCTTCTGTCTGAACACGAGAGGCAGGACTGACAGGCTGGCTGCTGTGGCCTGCCTGCTCAATGCTGACTATTCTACTAGGACTGAGGAGAACCTCCTGAGTGCTGGCTTCTGAGGTTCTTGGCAGTCCCACTTATCACTGGGACTCCCCTCATATTCACATTCAAACAGAACCTGCCCGGGGAAGGGAGCAAGAGGGGGTTTTCTGGGTGCTGAGACCATTCTTTTCTTGATTTGGTTGCTGGCTGCATAGTTATTTTTGGTTTATGAACATTAATCAAGCTGTACATTTTCTGCATGTATATTATATGTTAATAAAAAATAAAAACAAAAGCAAGTAAAAATTCTAAGAGCCAGCTTGTGGATGCTTTTTAAATTTGCTCTTTTATCCATTTTTAAGTGGACAATTCATTGGCATGAAGTAAATTCATAGTACTGTACAACCATCACTAACCATCACTATTATCCATTTCCAGAACTTTTTTTTTTTTATCCCAGTCAAGCTCTCCATCCCTTTCCCCTGCCCAGCTTTTGGTAACTTCTATTCTACTTTTTGTCTCTATAAATTTGCTATTCTAGGTACCTCATATAAGTGAATCATACAGTACGTGTCCTTTTGTGTCTTGCTTATTTCAGCATAATGTCCTCAAGGTTCATCCATTTGGTAGCATGTATTAGAACTTCATTCATTTGTAGGGCTTAAAAATATCCCACTGTATGTACCGACCACACTTTATTTATCCATTTATCTGCTGATGGACACTTGGGTTGTTGTGCATATTGGCTATTGTGCATAATGCCACTGTGAACAGGGGTGGCTAAGTGTCTGTTTAATTCTATAAATTCTTTTACAGAGAAACAGAATTGCCAGATCATATGGTAATTCTGGTTAACTTTTTCAGGAACCATCAAACTCTTCCACAGTGGCTGTATAATTTTAATATTCCCCAATGGAAATATATGAGACTTCCAATTTCTTTTTCCTTTTTTTGAGAGTTCCAATTTCTCTACATCCTCACCAATACTTGTTCTTTTCCATTTTGTTTTGTTTATAATAGCCATCCTAGTGGGTGTGGAGTATGACCTCATTCTGGGTTTTGATTTGCACTTCCCTAATGGCTAATACTGTTGAGCATTTTTTCACATGTTTGATGGCCACCTGTATATCTTCTTTGGAGAAATGTCAATTCTAATCTGTTTTGACCTTTGATCAAATCTGATCTGACCTTTGATTTAGATTTTTTTCTATTGCTAAGGTGTAAGAATTCCTAATATATTGTGGATACTAAACCCTTATCAGATATATGATTTCCAAATGTTTTCTTCCCATTCCATGTCTTTTCACTGTCTTACTAATATCTTATGATGAACAAGAGATTTTTAATTTTGATGAAGTTCAATTTATCTACTTGTTGTTGTTGCCTGTGCCTTTGGTGACATTATCCAAGAAGTCACTGCCTAAGCCAATGCCATGAATAATACTCACTTTTGACTTGGACCATTCTTTATCTCTCATGTCAGCTGGGTTTCAGGAAGGAATTCACTGTAATTAGCAAACATTTTTTTTTTTTTAATTAACAAACAAAACTCTTTGGATTGCTACAGTGAACACACCTCACTGAAGTCTTGGTCCTCTTCGTGAGGAAGGGAGTCATGCAATGTAGCTAAAAGAATAAGTACATGAGGACACAGAAGAACTAGCTTTGGCTATGGGCCCTGGCAGCAAGCTGTGACCTAGAAGAAGTCACCTCCTTTCTCTGAGCCTCCATTTTCTCTTCCATGTCATGAAAGTGTTGCGAGGGGTAGGCTCTGGGGTCCCAACTGTCAATTTCATTGCCTGTCCTTCCATGTTTGGATAGCACCCTGGTACACATACTCGTCAAAGGCCAGACCCTTGGGCAGACAATCCACCTCTTCCCTGGAATGTGAGTGAGACTTAGCATGCTAGAAAAGGGGAGACTTACAAGGGTGATGACTTCCCGGGCAATCACATGGCCGCCAGGAGCCCAGAGCAGGAAGTTCAGGATGAGGCGCCTGATCAGCTGTTGACACAAAGGTGGTCTGGGGTCTCTGTCTCGGCTCTCTGCAGCTGCTGCCTGCAGATCCTTGGCTGAGAGAGTCGGACTTCTGAACAGCTTCTTGAGGTGGCCGAGCACTGCCTTTACCTCTATCTGGGAAGTATAATTTCAAAGGTGAGATATTAGGGAAGAATCAACACAAGCATAATTCTAGGACTGATTTGGGACTTTGAAGCAACCCCCAGAAAGACGAGAGGACTGGCGCCCGAGGGAAGGCAGACAGAGGCGACTCATGTCTGAGCTTACACACTGCTCCACACAAACCCAAATGGGCGTAATGGAAATTTCTTGACTTTCTTTCGTCTTGCTCACTAAGCAGCCAAGGCACCATGCCAGGAATTGACCTTTTTTTTTTTTTTTTTAAAGAAAGGAAATGGAGAAAAATCCTCAGCAGAATGTAGTCAGATTTTTATATTGTGGGAAAAAGAACAAAAAGCTCCTTGAAGACTCGCTCACTATCACAGCCACAAATCAATTAAAGCCCCATGCAACTGGACCTCCACTGAGCCAATGTTCTGATAAGAATGAGTTTGCCTTTTGCTATCTTTGAGGGGTGGAAACACACACACACACACACACACCACATTTGTTTTGTTTTAGACACAGGGACAGTCTGTTCATACATGTTTAAAGCCCAAGCAGAGGTCACAAGTCTGTGGAATCCACATAATAATGGTGATTGTTATAGGTCTGTGGGTTGTTTTTGCATAAAAAATACTTATTTCATGCTGAGACTTCTGCTTGCTAGAAGAATGGTATCAAGTTGTGACTTGGAAACAAAGAAAAAACTGAAAGCCATAGATCCAAAATGCCACATGGCACTCATGAACAGCTATGTTCCGTCATTTTCGGAAGAATACTTAGGCCTATTCTGAGAATTCCCATGACCAATTTTATGGATTTTGTGTGAGTCTTTTTTTTTTTTTTTTTCCTGGAAGTTAAGGCCTCATTCAATGAAGTCTGTCATAAACTCCAGTACACTAGGAGTGCTGTGTGAGCTATTCTGACCACAGTCCAAGACCGTGAGAAACTGCACCATGGGGCTCTTCCACGGAGAATGGCAGCATTCCAACAGGAGAGGGCTACTCTCTCACCACCTCCTCCTGTCAGCTGGGCCCAGCCTGCCCTCATCTGATGGCGTCTATGGGAGCCCAAGACCCTCCTCTCATCTAAATGGTGTGCAAAAATGTCAGAGCTTAGGAAGTTATGCCTTCATATCCATTTTGTTCTTGACTGAAGAAAATCTTCTTGATTTTCTACCCTTGTCCAGGACTCCCTAAGACTGGTCTTCTTCATCCCAGACCATCTTTCCTTTTAAATGCCTTCCATGTCCATAAGCTTCTACCTGACATGCCAAAACTTTTTTTTAATTTTTTTTTAAAGATTTTATTTATTTGACAGAGAGAGAGCGATCACAAGTAGGCAGACAGGGAGGCAAAGGGAGAGGGAGAAGTAGGCTGCCCGCTGAGTATGGACCATGCAGGGCTCGATCCCAGGACGCTGGGATCATGACCTGAGCAGAAGGCAGATGCTTAACCCACTGAGCCACCCAGGCGTCCCCCGACATGCCAAAACTTTAAATGCTTTTTCATTTGTTTTTAGGTAAAAGACATAAGCTTTCTATTCTAAGTAGTACTTTTTATCCTGCATTGTGAAAATTTACATATGCTCACTGCAGAAATTTAGAAAAAAGTATCTAACTCCACTACCCAAATAAAAGTTCTGATCTAACTTGATCTCAGGCTGGTCCTGCTCCATTTTCTCCAGGGGAGATGGAGGAAACCAGGTAGGTTCACATCCTTCTCATCTTTTTCCCATGCCTTGTGCAAACAGCACTCACTATGCACTATGTTTTCTTTGCGTTTTCACAATGCACTGTAAGCAATGTCATGTATCTATGACAGTCTTTGAGAACATGATTTTTCATGGCAGAATGCTAGTCCATGGTTAGAATATGTCACAATTTATTTAGTCAGTTCTTTACTATTCAAAGTTTAGGCCATTTGTCATGTCTGCAATTACAATAATGCTCATGTCTCATACATAAATCTTTGTATGGATCTCTAATTACTTCCCTAGGGTAATTCCTAGAGGTGGAATGACAAAGTTAGAGTATGAACCCTGGCCTAATTCTTAGGGATATACAAACACAGGCATTTTTTGTTTTTATCATGATCCAATTCAAAGTTAGCAAAAGAAGATGGACACTGGCTGGCAGTGAACACGGTCTGCAGAGAGAAGGGTGGGTCTTTGTGCGGCAGCTGCTCTTGCTTCCCTGCTACTGAACCTCAAGGGTGGTCAGGGGAGGGGGTGCTTCTAGCTACAGTATGCTATCAGGGCTGAGCGATTAACTGGATTTAATGACACCTTTTGTGGAAAAGGCACAGATGCTGTCAGGCTCATTCAAATCTCCCAATAATCACACGTTCAAAGGCAGCTCAAAGTTCGTTTCTCAAGTCACCCAACAGACCATCAAAGGGATTAAAGCTCAAAAAACCCAGGAGAGCGAGAGGCATGTCTTACTAGTTAAACTAGGAAAACTGGGCCCACTTGCTTCTCAGGATGTCACACACACCAGCACCTCAGGTTGGGCACCAAGGAGGAAGAAAGAAGCTTTGGGATCACAAACATGGAGTGTGGCTTCAATCACAAAACGAATAGCCACCTCTGACAGGATAGCTAAGAAGGAAGCGAACATGCTGGTGCTAAACTACTCTGAGTGTGCTAATCTAATTTTTTTAAAGATTTTATTTATTTATTTGAGAGAAAGCAAGAGAGAGCATGAGCTGTGGGGAGGGTCAGAGGGAGAGGGAGAAGCAGACTCCCTGCTGAGCAGGGAGCCCAATGTGGGGCTCGATTCCAGGACCCTGAGATCATGACCCGAGCTGAAGGCAGATGCCCAATCCAACTGAGCCACCCAGGTGCCCTAAGCTAATCTATTTTTATCCAGTATGCCTAAGCATCCCTGGAGTAAGAACTATGCACAGGTTTTATTAAAAAAAAAAAAAAAAAAAAAGACCAAGTTAAGTATTAGAAAGACATGCCAATGCAGAACTTTCTAGAACTTACATTTTTGGGGGGGACAACTTATTTCTCTATAGTTCAAAAGTGAACCTCTGTTGGTTTCTATGATCGATATAGAATTTAACACATAACCTACCTACTTAGCTTATAAACAATCAAAGTATATATAACAGGGCTTTGGAAATCATGCATGTGCTACATGCAAGTGCTACATGCATTTTAACTACTACTATCATTAAAAATAAGGATTTCCCTTAATTAGTTTGATATTTTAAAAGGGAAATAGAAGGCTTTCTTTTTAATATACTAACCCTCAAATACATATGTGGATTATGATAATTTCTTTAAAATGTTCTATTTTTGATCCAAAATAATCACAAAATTTCCACTTTTTAAAATCCAAAACTCTTTTTTTCCTCTACCATGCAAGCCTTTAAACAAGTAAAATATACAGACATATCTGTACTAGTCCGCTTTTTTCCAACAATGGAAAACATCAAGCAAAAAGGAGCACTGCTCTCTACATAAAGAAACCTGCTCCCTTTAATTATTAAAATTAGCAAAAAGTTCTAGCTTTAGTTAAAGTTTTAAAAACCAACAAACAAATGTTTGCAAGGGAGGTGCCAATGTCTTTAATCAAAGCACTGCTTCCTGTAATCATTATACTCCACATAAAATAACAACTCTCTTTGCCATAGACAATCAGTCTAGTACTTAGCGGCTCTGTTATTTATGGAATGCCCAAGTCCTTTTTCAGAAGCTAAGGGGTTAATATCAGATTACTTTAGTAAGAGTTCTAAACAAAGCTGGTAATGTGAGGATTTGTTGACTGAGCCAAGAAAGCAGTAAGTCAAGACAGGCCGGGCTGCTGATCAGAGAGAGGACAGTGCTCCTCAGAAGAGCAGTCAGACTCCGCATAGCAAATGCTAGAGGACGTGGCCCCTGGGCCAGGAGCGTCTGTAAATGAGGGCAGAGGTGGCAGCTGAGCAAGAACAGATAAAACAATGTGGGGGACAGAAGGGCTATGCCTCATCTCCTCCATGCTTCCTGGGAAAGCAGAGTGGCAGGCTCCGGTCTCCAGTCAACTCTGTGAGGTAAGAAGACGTCTCCGACCACAAACTCAGCACCCGTGCACTCACTTATCTGGGTGGACATCGACATGCTTCCACAATGAACACAGTGAACACTCAGTGCTTAGGTGCCTGGGGGTTAGTGGAAGCCAAACCCACTACCGGGCCCCTTCCTGCAGCATCCTTTCTGATCCCGAGACGGACCCGGAGCACCACACAGAGTGGGCCCTGCCACCCACCATGGTCTGTGTTCTCTGCAGACTCCTGTCACGTGGGCTGTAGCTGAATGCCAAGAGCCACAGCAGGGCCTCAGGGGGTTCAGCTTCTGACATCACTAACTGCTCAGCCACGATATCAGCCCATCCTCCAAAGTGAATGAACAAAAACCAGCACTCAAAGGGGCCTCCGTAGGACCTGGAACAGAATCAAAACACATGGCAGCCCGGCAACTTGATTTCTCTTTTTGGTTCTTAAAGCAACTGTAATGTTTGCAAATGGTTGGCTTGAATTGTTCTTATGCACTGAAGTACAACTTGCAAGGAATACAAGTTACACCCAGAAAAGTAGCTCACTATGCCATGCTGAACTCATCACAGGGCCATCAAAGGCAGGTCTTTCAAAACCCCATGTGCCCTGAGGACTTCAGACATTTAAATCTTTATATCCAAGGACCATGATGAGTACAGGACTTTGACAAAGAAAGATTCTGGACCATGACCAACAGGAATGCTACAAGATGAGAACCTGCAGGCACCCCTTCGCTTTCTGCCTGGCCTGCACAGCTGGGCTGCCATGGAAAGTGGGGGCCCCCCAGCCATTATGCAGCCACCCAGAGAGCTCCAGAGCAAGAAATGAGGGGGCTCCCGGGGGTCCAGATGGAGACCAGAGAAGGGATGCAGACAGAAACATGCACGGTTTCCTTCTGACAAAACACAAGGTTCTGGTCAGTATTCTGGTAATTATGAATTTTTAATGGGCTGCATACTGTATTCTTTCCTGTCATCACGTATATGCCCAAGCTGAAAAGCTAGAAGCTTTTGTGAAGCTATCCTTCTGTCATACTGGGAACTGAGAGGTGTGCTGGTTGTTTAAAGGGAAGACTCCAGTCAAGGAAAGGATCCATTAATATGCACAGTGACAGTGTCAGCAGCTTAATATCTCCCCTGGAGAAAATGGAGCAGACTGGCCTGAGATCAAGTTAGATCAGAACTTTCCTTCTGAACCAGGGAAGCTCCTGGAACAGGAGAGTTCTAGGCCTCTCTTGGTTTAATCTGGGCCCAAGTGATTAAATGTTTTGAAATCTAGCTTCTGGACAGTGGAGAGAAAAGAAAAAAGGAGGGTATTTATCTTATTTGTCCCACAGGAGGGAGAAGAGGTGCTCTGTGGGATGCATCAGTGGTGGGCTGGGTTATGATGTCTCAAAAGCAAAGGACAAGCTCCACAGGGTTTCTCCCCTACAGACCTCCCCTACAGACCTGAGCACCAGGGCCCTCTCACGCTCCCTGCTCACAGATGGGCATCACACCTGGATCAGAGCTCAGAGCTTGCCTTGCACAAATGGGCCTGGTCCTTCTTGCTGTTTTCTACCAATAACTGAGTATGTAAGGCAGTCCCAGTGGCTGGCTGAGAAAGCATCTAAACCTGCTCACCCACTCCTCCCTGCAGGTGGACCCTGAAATCTAATTAAGGCAGATCTAGGTTAAGTAGGAGTACTGTGAAGTTTTGGGTCTAGGTCCTGCTCTGCAACAGAGACAATCTGAAAGGATGCACATGGGGCTGACGGTGTTACAGGTTGTCAGTGAGTCCAATACTCTGATCCCTGCTTGGCTGCTAGTTCTTTTTGTCTCATTTATTGGTATGAATCTTGTTGAGGAGGGGTAGGTGAGTAACCGGCACAAAGCCTTCATCAGTGATCACGAACATAAGGAGGACCAAGTGGAATATGTGACGGCTCAGTGAGGAGATTACAGAGAATTTCAAAAGGGAATAGTGGCAAAAGGAACAAATAAAGACAGTCTTAGTAGGTTAGTATAGACAACAAATAAAATATTTGTACTCTACAAAAAAGTAAGTCAAGAGGAAGCTGAAGGGTGTTATGTCACAAAGAACTAAAAGCCTAAATGTGATTGCTTTTAGGAAAATAATGTATATGAGAGGATACTTAATATCAGGTTAGAAATTAATTTATATTAGAATGGATTTTCTAACTTTAGAAAAATATTTATTAAAAAGAGGAGGAAAAGGGGCATTTTATCCTACTGTGCAGGAGAAGGTTAGAATTTCCTTCCGTAGAGAGTAAGAGGAAGGAGAAGACCAAGGGACCCAGACGGCACCACCCTTCTCCTTCTGCATGGCTGGGGGTGGGGGCGGCATGCGGGCACTGCTTTTTTTATAGTGTCTATTTTTCTTATTGTTATGCTTATATATTTCAAAATCCAATACCGGCCATTATTCAGGACAGTTTCTATACAAGGTATTTACATACGTACCTGTTGATTCTGAGCGATACATGCAGCTCTGCAGCTCGCTATGTGCTTCCTCTACTTCTCACTCAGTAAAGTGCTTACCTGTTTGGGGATGGTCACAGACCAGTAAAGGCCATCCCCCGTCAGCCCTCCATAAAGGGACGATCAGGATCAAGAGAAACCACTGTGATGCAGACCTACGAGTTGTCAGGATTTGCTTACCCGTGAGTCTGGTCTTCAACTATTTCTCTGAGCATTTCAGAAATATGTTTCAGTGGCTGGTGCCACAGTTCTTGTGGGATCTCTGTGGGTAGAGAGACAGACCAGAGGGAACTGAAGAAAAGTCAAACCTATCAGGATCATCTGCTGCTAAGACCAGAAGAGCTTTGGAAAAATGCCTTGTTTTTCCTGGTCCATGGGACCCATACCACTGGTCTCATGCTGTTCCCAGTTGATATCCATCCTTAGGCCTGGGAAGATCCTCAGTGTTACACAGAACTAACCTTCAATATATGGAAGGAGACAAACTGCAGCCTGCCCTAGGACTGGAAATGTTATGTTGCAGATACCCCAGGTTTTTTTCTTTTCTACCCTCCCCATCACTGACAATTCATGATTTCAAAGTACATGAAGATGGTAATAAAAGTCAACTGGGAACTAAGAATAGGTTGCCCAACTGTTTTTCTATGACTGTGATGAGTTCAGAATATGATTTCAGGTTTAAAGGAAAGGCCAGGAAAATAATACACAGATATCATACAAACAAATGTCCTTTCTTGAGTTAGTTTTTCTGGTTTCGTTATTATCCCATGGTTTTAGACACATCTGAACACGTATGTATCTGCAGTTCTACACAACATCTGACAAAGTTACCACATTTCCATGCAGTGATAGGCTCTGTAATTAAATACATCAGAAGATAATGTAAGCGACAGGGTAAGCACTGCTAATGACCCCACAAATGTCACGGGTTACAGGCTCGTACATTATCTTTCCCTCCTCTGAAATGCCCATAACTCTTGATTTGTAGCCTTTGAAGGCATGTTTCATTTTCTTCTTTGTATTAATTATTTAGATACTTATTTTATGTCCCCACCCTACTGTAGCTCTTGGATAGTCAGGGCTTGTAAGTGATCTATCTTTTATGCCCCACAGGACTTTACAGTGGACACAAAATCAATTTCTGATGAATAGAAGATTCTGCTATTAAAAAATACTTCAGGGGCACCTGGGTGGCTCAGTCGGTTAAGCATCTGCCTTCGGCTCAGGTCACAATCTCAGGGTCCTGGGATCGAGCCCCACATCGTGCTCCCTGCTCAGCAGGGAGTCTGCTTCTCCCTCTGCTCCTCCTTGTGTTCTTTCTTTCTCTGTCTCAGATAAATAAAGTCTTAAAAAAATACTTCAATTTGTGAACTTAACATTCATTTTTTCCCAAAAGTAATATGCTGAAAAGCAGAATAGGAGGAACTCCTGCTAAAATTCACTTATTTATTTTTGGACATAAATCTAGGACAGTCACATAAAGGAAAAGGTAAATGGCTGACTTCATGCCCAAGGTATCACCTTAGCCTTTTGTTTACAGATTTCCCAACTTAAAAAATAACAACTCCAGTATTTTTTCTGGAGCTCATTCAGCTTTGGCTGACCTCAGGCTTTGCTAATCTGACATAAGCTGTAAAGTGTACCCCTAGAAAGAGAAATGCTGACTTTTCTGTCTCGTTATCAAAGTTTTCCCATTGTGTTCCCACAGGGTAAGTTTCACAACACTGTTGACCCCAGGTCCCGCCAGCCTCATTACCACCTCTACCAATAGCACCTGAGAGGACAGGGTCAGATGGGTCACTTTGGGTGAGAACCTACATCTTTTAGAAAAGGGAAAAAGAACTGGATTTTGTAAAATGCTCTGAAACTTTGAATCATCTACTTTCCTTGAATGAATCAACTTACTCAAGTCTCAGGAAAAATGCAAGTAAAAATGGCATAAAAAGGAAATACTACTGGCTCTTTCCCTCTTCTTTTTCCTTCCCAGTTAAAATGCCTTCTTCTCTGGCACAGGCCACGCTGCGTCCGTGTGCTGCCTTTCCCTCAGATGCCAGGCTGCCACGGGGAAGGATGCCTTTATTCTCTATGCCTGAAACGTTGCCTAAACACAAGTTCCTACACACGCCAACAGGTCAACTCCAGTAAGGATGGAATCATCACTTCCCCAACTGGATGTGGCCAATGGAAGGCTGGCAAATGAGACCAGAGAAGGCCATGATCCAATACACTTACTGAATTCTTTCAAAAGTCTTCTTCCCTTGGCTCGGTTAGGAGAAATTTCCCCTAAATTTCCTAGGCTTTGTTCATCATTTTATCTTTCCTTCTGCAACAAGGGGCACAGAGTGGAAAGATGAAATACAAATAAACGTACTGTTTTAATCTTCCTCAGCCAAGTCTTGGCTTGATCCTGGCATTCAGGTGGATCTGGCCAGCACCAGTAGAAGACCGTGTTATCCGGAGCAGACTATCAAAACTTAACGAGAGGCCTTTTTTTTTTTTCTTTCTTTTGGTAAGTGATGATAACTGGGAAGTCCAGAAAATTCTCATTTCAAAATCCCACAGAATGTGAGACCCCGAGAGCTTAAAGGGATGTTAGAGATGACCAAGTCCGTCTCCCCTGTTTTATACATAAGGGACTGGTAGGGAAGGGTCATTATTTGTCAGTGTTCTTTCTCAGAAATTATTTTAATATGGGTAGAATCAACTTTCACGTACCTTTCGGGTGTTGGAGCAGCACCATAATAAGAGATGGAGAAGCATAAGGAAAGTAGGTCTTGAATGTAAACTTCAGCTACAAGAGAATAAAAACTTCAAAACCACATGGACATTACGGTTGAAAGGGATATTAAGAAAGAACAAAATCTTGCATCATCTACCCCAAAAAGACCTACTAGTACTAACATGGTCAGAATGTTTTCTTAAACATTTATTTTTAAAAAATGCTTCCAATAACCTTGTAAATATGTACCCGAAAAATGAACCTTTTTGAAATCACCTTCTGGGGCTTAAAAAAATAAAGTTATGTTCCTGATGTCTTCATAGCAGTTCTTTACCTCACATGAACCCAATTATGCACATAAATCTCCTATTTAAGTGAGAGTTTCCAAAGCGGTTGTGAGATGTTAGGTATTCCAGCATGATTTTTTTTTTTTTTTTTTTTAAAGATTTTATTTGACAGAGAGAGAGAGACAGCGAGAGAGGGAACACAAGCAGGGGGAGTGGGAGAGTGAGAAGCAGGTTTCCTGCAGAGTAGGGAGCCCGACGTGGGGCTCGATCCCAGGACCCTGGGATCATGACCTGAGCTGAAGGCAGACGCTTAACGACTGAGCCACCCAGGTGCCCCTCCAGCATGATTTTTTAACAACAAAAAAAGCATGAAACAACAATGGTGCTTGCAACACTTTGAGGGCCAAAGCGCTACAGTTATTTATGCCCTCTGAAGGCAGAGTGGCTTTGAAGTATGTTTGTAAGAAATTAAAGGAAAATCTAGAAACAGTGAAGTGCTCGGGCTTTGATGAATTTTGGTAAATCTGTAAATCCATGTGACCATCATCCCAGTCAAAACAGAGAACATTTCTGTTACCCCAAAAACTTCATTTGTGGTTCCACCACTCCCCAGCAACCAATATTTTGATTTCCACAAGAGAGTTTCATTTTGCTTATTCTTGGATTTCATATGAATAGAATCATAGAGTTTGTATTCTTTTGTGTCTAATTTGGCTGAACATATTTTTTTTTCTTAGATTCTTCCATGTTACTCTGCTTGTTGAGTAGTTTGTTCTTCCAGTCTTTTCTTATTGCTTGAAATAATCATTGTATGAATATACCATAATGTTTATTCATTCCCCTATTGATGGGTATTTGGGTTGTTTTCAGTTTGGAGCTACTATGAAAAAAGTGTCAAATTAACATTCATATTTATGTCTTTTTGTGGACATGTGTTTTCATTTTTCTTGGGTAAATAGCACAGGAGAAGAATTACTGAGTAGACGCCTGTTTAACTTTATTAAGAAAATGCCTAAAAAAATAAAAAAAAAAAAAGCAAATGCCATGTAGTTTTCCAAAATGGTTGTACCATCTCACATTCCCACCAGCAATTTATGAGAATTCCAGTTGCTCCACACAGCAAACATTTGATATTGCCAATCATACTAATTTCAGCCATTCCAGTGGGTATGAAATGTCACCTCTTTATGCATTTACTATGCATCTTCTTGACAGCAAATAATGTTGAACAATTTTCATGTGTTTAGTGCCAACTTATGTATCTTTTTTGAAGTATGTATTCGTTTCTTTTCTACATTAAAAAAAACCTGAGTTGTTTCTTAGGGAGTAAGAGATCTTTATATATTCTGAACACAAGTTCTCTGTCAAACATATGTATTGAAAATATTTTCTCTCATGTGGTGGCTTGCCTTTTCACTTTCTTAACGAATCTACCAAAGAAAAGAAGCTTTTCATTCTGATGAAATCTATAATTTACCCAATTTTTCTTGTATGGTTTATGCTTTTTTTGCATCCATTGTAAGAAATCTTAGATTGTTCCAATGTAAAAAAAAGATACTCTCCTATATTTTCTTCTAGGAGCTTTATAGTTTTAGCATTTACGTTGAAGTCTATGATCTATCTCTAATTAATTTTTGTATTTTGTGAGGCAGAGGTTAGTTTTTTGCCATATAGATATCCAGCTGTTTCAGCACATCTGTTCAAAATGTTCCTTTCCCCATTGAATTGCCTTGGTGTCTCTGTCAACGACCAACTGACCATACACACACACACACACACACACACATATTTCTGGACTCTTCACTCTTCAGTTCTACCAATCTATCTATCCTTTTGCTGATACCTCACGGTCTTGATTACTGTAGCTTAAAGTCTTGAAATCAGGTAGTATGTGTCTGCTGGGGTTTGTCTTTTTTTTTGCATTTGTTTTTCAGAATTGTTCTGGCTATTGTTTTGGAATTTTATGGGTTCTCTCTTCACATATTTGAGTTTCTTAAAGCAATGTTCTGTAGTTTTCAGTGTAGAGGTCTTATACATCTTTTATTAAATTTACATCTAAGTATTATTATATATTTTTAAAGATTTATTTATTTATTTTGGGGGGGTAAAGAGAGAGCGTGGAGGCGAGGGGCGGAAGGAGAGGGAAACCAGACTCCGTGCTCAATACGGAGCTGAAGCAGGCCCTATCTCAGGACCCCAAGATCAGGACCTGAGCCGAAACCAAGAGCTGGACACCCAACTGACAGCGCCACCCAGATGCCCCTTAAGTATATGTAACTGTGCATTTGTCTTTCTCTCTTTACTTCTGTCAATTTTTGCTTCATGTATTTTGGAACTCTCTTATTAGGCACATATCCATCTATAATTGGTATTTCTCCTGATGACCTGACCATCGTGCCATTATAAAATGTCCCTCTTTTTATCTCTTGTCATACCCTGTCCTCAAGTCTACACCATCTGCTGCTAATAGCGCTGTACCAAATTTCTGTGATGATTACTTGTATAGCCTATCTTTCCTTTCTTTTACTTTACTCTATCTGTGTCTTTATAATTAGAATGGGTCTCTTGAAAACAACATACAGTTGGATCTTAGTTTATCCAATTTGACATTTGTGCCTTTTTACTAGCATATTTAGCTAATTTTTATTTAATTTTTATAATTAATGTGCCTGTTAGTATGTTTGGGTTTAAGTCTACCTTTTGATGTTAGTTTTCATTTGTCCCATTTATTTATTTTTTGTTTCTCTGGCAGCTCACAGCCCTGTCTTATGACACCTCAAGTCCATCAGATTGTGCCTTCAGTTCTGGGCACCTGTGACCCCACAAAACCCCCTCCCACTCCTCACATGAGAGACCTAAGGAGACGGTTAGCAGAAATCCCAATGTGGTTTCCTTTTTCAAGGCTTAAATCTCCTCCAGTTTCTATGTGCTTTTTTAGTGGCTCTCTAGTACCTTCAAATAGTTTTTAAACATATTTTGCTCAGAGTTTATAATTTTCATTAGGAGATTTAGTCTATTATTGGACTCTGCCATTGCTGGAACCAGAACCTGAACTGATTTGCTGTTTGTACTAAGCCATTAGGCAAGTTTAGAAAAAGTGGCTTGTTGTGGCAACACTAGTCCAACTGGGCACACTGATGGAACTGCACCGTGCTTGCCAAATACAACAAGGGTGAGAGGAAAGGATAAAAAGAGAATGCGAAGCACTGAAGATAAGTATTTCTGACAATGGGAAAGAATGTGGATGAATGGGATTTCTCATAAACTGTTGGGGGGAATATAAATTGGTACATCCACATATGAAAACAATTTGGCAGTATCTACAGAAGCTAAATCTTTGCATACCTAATAACCAGCACTTCCACTCCTATATATATATATATCCCAGAATGTTCAGGGAAACCCTATCTCTAAAAGAAAACAAAATCTGGAGACAACCCAGAGGCCTACCACCACTTTCCCAACAGAGTGCTATATACAGCAACACCCCACCGTGGCCACACACGACATAGAGCAATCTTGGTGAGTGGGAAAAGCAAGGCTCAAAAGACTGCACACAGTATGCTACTCTTGTTTGTTGTTTGTTTTATGAAGTGCAAAAAAGTAAAGAATACATGGGTTAGGAAATCCCATATATGTGATTACATTATTTTCAGGAAAAGCAAAGGAATGATAAACATAAACTCAGAACAGTGGCTACATGGGGGAGACAGGCAAGGCTGTAAGACAGAGACAGGCTATACGGATACATGTAAATTATTGTTACCAGTCCAAGTCTCATTTGGATATCAGATTCATAAATATTCGTTTTATTAAGAATAAATGCATGACGGGTGCCTGGGTGGCTCAGTTGTTAAGCGTCTGCCTTTGGCTCAGGTCATGATCCCAGAGTCCTGGGATCGAGTCCCACATCGGGCTCCCTGCTCGGCTGGAAGCCTGCTTCTCCCTCTCCCACTCCCCCTGCTTGTGTTCTTGATCTCGCTATCTCTGTCTCTGTCAAATAAATAAAATCTTTAAAAAAATAAGAAAAGAATAAATGCATGAATGAATGAATAAAACACAGAAAGGAAAGAGTGTTATGCATGGATCACACAGGACACAGGGTGTTATGCATTAAGGATTATGAGTAATCTAAAAATGGGCACTCAAGAAGGCAGGAGATCAATGATGAGAAATGGCCGTCGATTAAAAAGGCAGGCAATCAGGAATAGTCCTACAAAGAGAAATGACATAATATATGTATATGAAGGCCTGTGCAAAGATAAGAGGTTATTGCCCTCTTATTCTGAGACCAAAGTCAGGGCAATGAATTCTTCTTTCTTTTTTGGATCCCTGCCTTGCTTTCCACTGGGACTCAGTGTGTACCCCTCCATACCGCCAGACCAGTGTAGCCTAAGCAGGGTGATATTCTAAAAGGAAAGCAACAAAAATAGAAAAGAAAAGCAACAGAAATAGAACAAACAATCTTAAAATCTGTATGGAACCACGAAAGACCCTGAACAGCCAAAGCAATCTTGAGAAAGAAGAACAAAGCTAGAGTCAGCAGACCCTCTGATTTCAAACCTTATTATAAACCTATAGTAATCAAAACAGTATTGTACTGGCATAAAAACAGACCCACAGATCAACAGAACAGAGAGCCCAGAAATAAACCCACACATACATGGTCAAGGAGCCAAGAATATACAAAGGGGAAAGGACAGTCTCTACAATTAATGGTGCTGGGAAAACTGGACAGCCACATGTAAAAGAATGAAACTGGACCACTATCTTAACAACATATACAAAAAATAAACTCAAAATAGATTGAAAATAGACTGAAACCATAAAACTCCTAGAAGAAAACACAGGTGGGAAGTTCCTCAACAATGGTCTTGGTGATGATTTTTGTATCTGATTCCAAAAGCAAAGAGAACCAAAGTGAAACTAAGTAAGTGAACTACATCAAACTAAAGAGCTTCTGTACAGCAAAAGAAACCATGAACAGAATGAAAAGGCAACTACCAAATAGGAGAAAATATTTGCAAATCATATATCTGATAAGGGGTTAATATCCAAAATATATAAAGAATTCATTAAAATTCAATACAAAAAAAATCTGATTAAAAAAATGGGCAGAAAATATGAATAGACATTTTTCCAAAGAAGACCTACAGATGGCCAACAGGTACATGAAAAGGTGTTCAACGTCACTCATCATCAGGGAAATACAGATCAAAACCACAACAAGGAATCGCTTCACATCCGTTAGAAGAGCTAATATCAAAAAGACAAGAAATAACAAGTGTTGGCAAGGATATGGAAAAAAAGGAACCCTAGTGCCCTGTTGGTGGGAATGTAAATTGGTGCAGACACTCTGGAAAGCAGTATGGAGGTTCCTTGAAAAATTAAAAATAGAACTACCAAATGATCCAGTATCCCACTACTGGGCATTTACCCAATGAAAATGAAAACACTAACTCAAAAAGATAGTTAATTAACTATACCCCCTATGTTTACTGTAGCATTGTTTACAGTAGCAATGACATGAAAACAACCTAAGTGTCCATTGATGGATGAATGGATAAAGAAAATGCGGTCTATGTATATACAATGGACGATTATTCAGCTGTTAAAAAAGGTGCTATCTTGCCATTTGCAACAACATGGATGGAACTTGAGGGCATTATCCTAAGTGAAGTAAGTCAGACAGAGAAAGATAAATACTATATGATATCACTTATATGTAGAATCAAGAAACAAATCAAAGCAAAACACCCCTTGAGCTCACAGATACAGAGAACAGACTGGTGGTTGCCAGAGGCAGGCTGGGGAGTGGGAGAAATGAGTGAAGGGGATCAAAAGGTACAAACACTTCCAGTTATAAAATAAATAAGTCTCATGGATGTAACATACAGCATAGTGACTACAGTTAATAACACTGTATTGCATATCCAAAATCTGCTAAGAGAGTAGATCTTAATAGTTGTCACTACAAGAAAAAAAATTCTGTGACTTTGTGGTGACAGATGTTAACTAGACTTACTGTAACATTTCACAATATATACAAATATTGAATCATTATGTTGTACACTTGAACCCGGTATTTGTTAATTAGACCTCAATAAAAAAAAATAAGAATAGACAAATGACTCAAAAGCAACCGCAACTCCAGTCCGAATCCGCAGTGCCCAAGACCAACAGCCAGGAGCAAGGCTGATAAGAAAAACACACTTCAGCTAATGCTTTCACCAGTGTCTTCAGCCCCAGCCTAGGTGTTGTTCAGGAGTCAAGGGGGCAGGTTTTCTAGAGGCTGGTTCCTAACTGGGAATACAAAAAATGCACAAGGGAGGATAAAAGATATTTACAGTTATGCCTCAAAATGGGTGTGAGGGCCAACCAATGCCTTTCAGCAGAGCTCTCCTCCTGAATTCCAGGCTGGGTACCACTGAAACGTGGTTTGCTACAGTCTATTTAACCTCCCTAGGGAAAAAGGATGGGAGAAAACACATCATAAATACTTATGATTGCCTTAAAAAGCGGAAACATCTGCTAAAACCTGAGAGATTTCTTTGGTGCAGGGGTGTGTGGGATTGTAGCAGGTAACAGTCACACAGCACTGCTCTCTTCAGTCAGGCTGTGGAAAGCATGGTGAGGGACCATGGCCTACTTCCTGGGAAGCTGCAGTGGACCCAGGCGCCCAGACAGGCAAGGCCCCACACATAGTATAGGGCAGTTAAAGTGCCCAACAGTGAAAGCTCTGGTGGGAACGCTTCCTGTTTCACCAGGTCCCTCTAATCAGTCCCCGGCCCTTGGCAGGGCTTGTCTGGCTTCTGCTGATGGGGCCCCACAGTACAAGTCTTCCTACAGCCCTCACGCCTGGCTTCTCGCTCGCTGATTGTGTCCAACTCGCACTTCTTGGTCACTGCCACTCCTAGCTGCTTCTCTACAATGATTCAAATCTCTCCTTGTCACTTTTACTGGCTCCTTTCTCTCCTGGAACCCAATTCACATTTGGGTCTCTCCTAGCTAGGCAAGGAAACTCTAATAATGAAGAATGCCCAGCACTCCTTTGTAATATGTGGCATTCCTTCTTAGCACCTGCCATATAGACTCCAGAATGCCTGGGTAGGGCGGAGGCCCGCTTGGCAGACAGCATGTAACACAGGCGCTGGAAAATGCCTCCTCCAGGGTGGCACGTGCTGGCATGAGAGTCTTCTTACACAAGAGCAGGTAAATGCTTCTAGGTACCAGGGCACAGGGCAGACAGAAACTATCCTGATTTATTTTCAACTAAAATGGTTTTACCTTTGCTGGGGCATTCATTTGGAAGCTTTCTTCATAAGCAAAACAGTTTATCAAAATTACTAAAAATAAAGTGCTCCTTCCTGGTGATTAGCTAGATACTCTTAACAGCCTTTTTTGTCTTTGGGGGAATGAGTAATATATGCAATATAACAAACCTGCTTGTTTTTTTTTTCCAGAGCTTCCACAAAGCACCATGTAAACACTTGAATAGCAGCTAGTACTTCTGGGGCTCCGTCGGTTTCCAGAAGTGCACACCTGAGCAATGCAAAGCCAGATTACACCACACGTAATGATTAATCTGGCAAACACGTGAGCCTGAATTGTAAAAGGAAAGAGTGGAAACGTTCTTTTTGTGCCATAAGCTTCAGCAGTATCTTAGCTCATCAGATTTCAGTCCTCGTGTGAAAGTAGGAGAAATCTCACTCCTTTTCTAAATACTTCCATTAAAATAGCAATCGGCAGAGCTTCCTTTCTTGGTTTTTAAATTATTAAGCACTGCATATCCCTTCCACATAGGCCTGAGTGCTCTTTAGAAATACTCGCACATTGTACACCCAGGCATGCAAAATCAACAGACCTTTTGCTTTTTCAAGTGGAGAAAGAGCTGCCCAAGCGGGTAAAATGCCTTGGTCAAATCCACCCAGAGAAGCGGTGAAAGAATCTGTGAAAAATCTGCCTTGTACCTGGACTGGTTTTTGTGCATTTTCATACAACTAACTATATGTTGAAACAAAAGAAATCAACTCAAACTTTGCTCGCTTTAAACTAAAAACATCATTCTGACTTACTCCTGTGCTCATTTATTTAGCCTGAAGTTGGTATGTTAAGACCAACTCAAGGACTGGGTTATTTGCTGTTGTAAAAATTCCTTTCCCCAGGGTTACTGTCTGCCCTGGAGGCTCTACTGCTGAGGGCGAGGGGGATGAAGGCAGGGAGAGTAAGCGCCAGCACCCAGGAAAGATGGAAACCCTCCCTTGGTAACAAGATGCCACTAACGGCCAGCCATGACCCAACCTGGTATCCAGTGGTCTCTCATCTCTCTTCACCTATAAATCCAACGAACTTCCTAAGAAGTACTCATATTTGTAAAATTAATGTGTTTTAGGATAACATGCATAGTTGATTTTGCCTTTCAGCTCTGAGAATGGCATTATTTATTTCTTTTTTTCAGTTTTTCCTTAGCTTTAAATTCCTTTAAAAAGATCGGTCAGCCCTCATGTGGTGAAGGGAGTACACTGCTATGCTTTATTTTGAGCTAAGTCCTACATGAACAGTTAATGATTTAATATCTAATTCGATTTGCCTTTCTACCATTATAATTAGAACTTTAAATGGTTTAAAAAAACTTATTTTTAATTCTTAGGCATTGGCTTTTAAATATACACTGATATTTAGGTTTTACCAAATAGCTCAGAGGGGTAAGACAGAATCAGAAACTAACTTCCCCATTGTATAGCCAGAGACTACCACAAAATTTTTTATTCATATTTGGAAACTGGCTTTTCTAGATCAATTATTAGCAAAAATAGCACATCATTTACCTGAACATTTCATCAACAATTCTGAATATGGCAGGGTGGCAGGCTGCTTCAGGCTATAAAGGAAGAGACCAAAAGAAAGTAAAATATCAGAAGCATTTCATGGATAACATATGACTGGTTATTATCAGGGAGATGAGTTGTCTAGAACTGTTGGTGTCTAGAAAATGGGCCTATCCCTTTGGGTTGGGGAAAAAAAAACCAACGCTGAGTGCATGGAAAAAGCCTTGCATTACAAACACAAACTGGTTCTCTAGGAGCAAAGAGATTATGGGCAAGCTTTGTTTCCTCTTTATACTCCTGTATGTTCTACATTTTCTCCAACAGGCCAATATGATCCAGAGAAAGAATCAATAAGTATCGGGGCGCCTGGGTGGCTCAGATGGTTAAGTGTCTGCCTTCGGCTCAGGTCATGATCCCAGGGTCCTGGGATCGAGTCCCACATCGGGCTCCCAGCTCGGTGGGGAGCCTGCTTCTCCCTCTGACCCTCTCCCCTCTCATGCTGTTTCTCTCTCGCTCGCTCTCTAAAAAATAAATAAAATAGTGAAAAAAAAAAAAAAAAGAATCAATAAGTATCATGGGAAATTTAAAAATACCTTTCACCAGCATGCTGTAGTAAAGGCAGAGCCTGCCTGTGTTGCTAGTTTTACACCTGCCCGTGTGTCTGACCACCCCCCATGGCCCAGAAGTGCCCCAAGGTCACGTCTGGGGCTGCTATCTTTTCATTCCTCCTTATTAGGCAATGAGTACATAGTAATTTAGAATTATTATTGAGGAAAACAGTGACTACTACCATCCTGGACTAAATAATATCACATCTTAGTGCACTATGAATTTAACAGCTTAAATTTAGGATGAAAAAGGGGCTAATGAAAATAAAATATAGATACCATCATTTTGAAGAAGAAAAGTGATTTATTCTGTGAATATTTTTGTGATGGTTTTGATGATTTCAATCTGCAGAAGTTGACCTACTGTGGCCTAGGTGGGGCTTCAGTGGGCCTGACCCAGGCTGCCTATCTTCTCAGCCAGAGCTCAAAGCATAACATTAAGCCAGATGAAAATGCCATTTGTGGGATGCCTGGGTGGCTCAGTCGTTAAGTGTCTGCCAGGGTCCTGGGATCAAGTCCCTCATCGGGCTCCTTGCTCAGCAGGGAACCTGCTTCTTCCTCTGCCTGCAGCTCCCCATGCTTGTGCTTTCACTCTGTCTCTCTGACAAATAAATAAATAAATAAATAAATAAATAAATAAATAAATAAATAAAATCTTTAAAAAAAAAAGAAAAAAGAAAATGCCATTTGTGTTCTGAAACAGATTTTACAGTAGCATCCAAATGTGAGTGGATTAAGCTCTACAAGGGACATTTCTTTGAGTCCTACTGCACTTGCTATGACCAGCTTTGGTAAACATTTTTTCATAGTCCCTCAGCAAGAAAAGAAGAAGAAAGGATATGCTTTGCCTCACAAGTTTTCTGGGCCATGGTGAAGAAAGAATGGAGTCTATCTCCATAGATTTTCTTTTCCACTTTCCAGTCTGCGCTGGCCTTTTGAATTGTAACATTGAACGTGTGCCATCTAGTGTTCACATCCTGCCACTACAGGCTGTCCCAGCCCGCTCCAGGCAAGAACACTGCCACTTGTTGAAAGGATGGGAAGATTTCCTTTTAATTACTGGAAGAGAGGGATTTGTGCTTTGCAAGTTACAAATTGCTACTCTTTAAGTAGAATAACCCACATTCCGTAATCCTTCATTGATGTGAATTTTTATTTAAAAGAAACCAACTAAAAATTCTCATAGGTAAATTCATTATGTACTCAAGAAATAATGTGGCAGGACCATGGTTCAACAGAAGGGAGGCAAATTATTTCTTGGCTTTGATCTCAGGCAAGTCAGTTAATCTCCCTGTGTCTCGGACCCACTGTAAATAATAACAGTTATTAAGAGGTCACTGGATAAATGCCCAGAAAGTATCATAAACCTTTCTACATATTCATAATGGAAAAATCAAACAAGAGAAAAGCGAACTATATGTTTTACAGTGATTCATCAGATTTGCCAAAAATTTTTCAAACTTTCATAGATGGACAATATGCCTGAATAAGTGTTTGTGTCACATGCACACAAGCAGACATACAAGAGCCTGAAAACGCACTGATAGAAAACCAAAATTGGAAATGGTAAAATAGAACCATTCCTTTCAATCCAAATGGTCTAACTAATCCACAGCCACAATGTAAATTTGATGCTAGCAGAAAATCATTCAGTACTGTTTACAGGGGGGCGCCTAGGTGGCTCAGTCGGTTAAGCGTCTGCCTTTGGCTCAGGTCATGATCCTGGAGTCCTGGGATCAAGCCCTGCATGGGGCTCCCTGCTCAGCAGGGTGTCTGCTTCTCCCTCTGCCCCTCACGCTGCTCGTGCTCTCTCTCTCAAATAAATAAATAAAATCTTAAAAAAAATACTGATTACAGGGAGGGATTTCTAAATCGCCAATGACAAGATAATCCAATGGGTAGAATAGGCTGCCATGAAAATAAAGGGGGAGAAGAATGTTCTAACTTAGTTTGTTAAGAGAGGACTAGAGTCTGGACATACTTTTATTTTATGCAGTGTTTTCTATCAAAATCACTCAATCCAATGTTTTAAATGTCTCCAGAATGTGTGGAACCTCCTGCTCTCTCCATGCCATTGGACTCTCTGCTTAGATTTCCTTCTATCTAAAAAAAAAAAAAAAGATTTCCTTCTATCCTAAATATTTCATATTTCAAATATTTATTTGCTCTCAGCCTGCTTCTACAACCCCTTTTAGCTTTACAACAAATAAGATGCCAGGAGGCAGAACCTTGCTGAAACAGCAGTGGCAGAGATTTTGATTTAAAAACCAGTCTTCCTTGCTGCCCCAGAGCTGTGAACAGCTCTTTCTCATCCGAAGCCTTTACTGATGGTTTTTCAAATGAGACTCTTTACACTTCCCGAGCACATAATTTCAGGGTCAGTGAGTCCCCTCATGAAGCCTGGAGTGGTCACAGGCCAGGCATGTGTCCCAGTGACATCAAATCACAAAAGCAAACTTAAGCTGCTTTTCTTTATCAAGAGAATCCTCCAAATAGAATTAAAGTCTTAATTTATGCTTCTTTGGAAGCCATAAATTTCCCTCCCCTAAATCTTTAGAGCATCCTTGTGAGGGAAGAGCCAGACATTTAACCCCTCTGTGCCCTATCTTATTTGTAGAATGGGACCCTACAGCCCACCACGGGCTACCCTGCAACCCAGAGCCTCGAACCCTAGCTCTAAAGCCCTGCAATCTGGGCGATTATCTTTCCTGTAAAAATGAGGGAAAGAAAAACTTTCTTGGGTTCCATCTGTTTGTTTTTCTCCATCCTACCAAAATCTGTTCCTTCTCAAGCTCTGCTCTTCTCCATCTGGCCTAACGATTTCCATGTACACATTATTTCAAGTCTAGGGAAACTATGTCACCAAGAGGCCATCAATAACACACGTTTTGCCTTCTTCCCTCCCCTCACACCACCCCCAATCCTTTCACTGAATGTCGGAGGATGAACAGAAGATGATGATGGAGAGCTTCGGACTCTGGCTTCCTTTTCTTATCGACCAGATTGTTCTGTTGGGTGTGCATCCCCTTCCTGTCTCCCACAGCTACCCAGAAATGCATCGTTTATCTCCTCTCTGCCTAGGACAGCCTATTCCCAGCCCTCAACAAAACGAGGCAAGACAGAGTCAACACAGAAGAAATGCGCAGTGGCCGTGTGCTCTTGGCCTGTTGGTTGTGGGGGAAAGGTGAGGGAGAGGCCAACTGTACAAATAACATCCATGCACACTCTCTGCCCTTGATGCCTAATCTGTTATTTTCATCCCAATTCATCAAGGATTATTACAAGCCACTTGTCACTTGAAAGAGGCCTGAGAACATGGAAGAACAGAATTCTCATGGAAGAAATCTTTCCTCTTTTCTACCATTTTCTGATTCCTTGTGTGTGCTCGATAGAGTATGCGGAAGAGGGGAAGAAAAGAGAGACTACAAACCAGAAAGGGAAATTGTACTATGATTCGAGGTAATTCACAGACAAAAGTGAATGCCTCATAGAAAAAAGGGCAGTGAGGAAACAGAAAAGTTCTCAAGCCTTTTCCATTTATCATCCTTCACAGATATTTTTATCTAAAAAAAAAAGAGGGAAATTGGAGGTAAGAGAGAAGATGAAGTTCAGGAAGCCTGGAATAGATTCTCTTTCGTGGTCTGTTTTAAGAGAGTTAAATACTTTACTCAGGAACGGTCATTCTCTTCAAGAAGAAATGGCTGATGAGAAGCTTGCCCTCCAGGTGCGCGGCGTACGCAGGAGCCAGCAGTCCCGGCCCACTCAGCCCACTCCTCCAAACCCTGACGGGCGGGAGCCCCTGTGGTGATATATGTATGTAATTGAAGGGTGACTGTATTTACCAGAAGATACCTTTCCTCTTTTAAAAAAAGGGATTCTCCAGAAGATTCATTCCAATAGTAAACTCTTTTATGGAGCTCAAAAGCAATTTGGTTTTTAAGATACCGACTTATATGAAACCTTTATATCTATTGTGTAAAGTACCTTTATTAATACGTATGTTTTATTATGCCATTTTCTTCTTTTCTGCTTTCAGAATGCTAAACGTAAGACTGTAAATATCCCTTTTACATTTCAGGACCTATTTTGTTTCAAAACACTGAAGTTTCTTTCAACAAATTTGAGCCTGGAAAAATTATTCTTTATTTTTAATCTTTACCAGATGTTGTTTATACTACAAGCAATTTTTTTCAGTACTCCATAATGCAATTATTGTTTAATTAGTGATAAATGTATCATTTCTGGGCTTAAAAGAAAAACAACTTAAGCACCAAATGTACTTCTGTATTTTAAATTTACCTGTGCTCTCCAAGAGCGTTAAGACGCAGGGGATGTCAGCTCTGGATGCAGAACAAGAACCCCCAAATCTGAAGTTCTTTCTAGCCTTGCCCAGTGGCCTCTGTCCAGTGAGCTGAACTTGTGCAGCTTGAACAGGAAGATAGCCC